TGCCATAAAGAGTGAGCTACAGTTATGAACATGTCTAATGATCACTGGCTTCAGTTTCTTGGTGAAAGTGCTGCCAAAGAGATCTCTAAGTGCTGGAACTCAGTAACCTTTAATCTCTGTACATTATGGCAGAGAGTCTTCATCAGGACATCCATCCATCCATTATCTGCACTGCTTGTCCTAATGAGGGTCGTGGGGGGCTGGAGCCAATCCCATTTGATGTTGGGCAAGGTACGCCCAGGTCAGGTTGTCAGTCTATCACAAGACTGACACTTAGAGACCGACAACCACACACACACTCACTCACTCATACTGGCAATTTAGAGTCACCAATCAACATAAACCGCATGTCTTTGGACTGTGGGAGGAAGCTCAAGTACCAGGAAAGAACCCATGCAGGCGTAGGGAGAACATGCAAACTCCACACAGAAAAGGCATCGGGTCAGCTGGGGGTCAAACCCAGAATATTCTTGTTGTGAGGCCACAGCGCTAACCACATTTCCACCATGGCACTCCATCAGAACATCAATAGGAGAAACAAAGTCTGGATAAGTGATGTCACATAAAGTGTAACCATGGGCCGTGAATCTGAAATGTCTTCTTGCCTCTATTTCTGTCAGTGCTGTCCTTAATACCTCCTCATCAGTGCTGTTCTGAGCCCCAAGGAGATTGCAGTGACAACTTGAAAGAGTGGATACGCCTGTTCTGACAGTCTTGGAAATGTGAGGCAACTGGTACTGTAGACTGAAGGCATGTGGTTTGACTGGCGAGTTTATCCTTTGGGCTCAACTGGATGGTTTTAAAAACTTTCTTGGAGCTCTTTCCTTTGGGGTTCATTGGGATGCATATTTGTACTGATAGGTCCATTGGCATTGCAGCCTATAAATGACTAATATGGATATGAATTTTCCAAAGGATGACACAAATATTATTAATATTATTTTTTGTTTTGAAATGCAGACCTCATAAAAACAAACAGTAATTCTTTAAATGATGATGAAAAATGTACATACAAGGTTAGAATAAGTGTTTAAAGAAAGGGTTTTGCGTTTGTAATTGATGCCTTTTCTTGTATGCATTGCATTTACTTTAATGAAGTGTGCTAAATAAAATTACATTGCATTTATTTGTTTATTTGCCATTGAATCCATTGAAAAAGCATCAGTAGGCTAAATGGTCGATGGTGTGGGCAGTTTAGTCAAACCAAACCCAACCAGTAACACCCGGTTCCGTCTCATCATCGCCCTGCCGGCGGGATGGCAGAGGATGGGAGCAGAGATGCTCCTGCACGCCCCTCCCATCCAAGGAGATCGCCTCCATGTGATCTCTTCCTCTCTCAACCCCCATCCCCCTCTCTCTTTGCTAGGGCTTTGACGTCAGACGTGCTCCTGATCGGTTGTTATGGCAACATATTTTCCTATACCCCCTCCCTCTTCCCTCCCTCCCTCTCTCTCTCTCTCTCTCTGCTCTGGTAGATCCACAATGGTACAGCCAGCATCTTGCAGCACAATGGTTGCAAGGTGGTGAGCTGGGGGAGAGTGATTCAGCATCAGCACACCTCGGCTCCGTCCACTTCTGCTTTTTTCTTTCCTCATCGCCTTATTTTGGCTCTTCCTACTCTTCCTTTACAAACGTTTAAACTCAGCCTTGAGCAATGGTCACCGCAGTGCTCCGCGTCGGGATGTTTTGAAAAGGACTGTAACCGGACTGGGATCGTCATCAGCTGGCACGGAATGGTAAGGCCGGGTGGGCTTGGTTAATGTGGATGTGATGCTTGGACCCGAGCTGCCTGGAGGGTGGAGTGATGGCTATTGATTGGAAGGGAAGGTTAATGAAGTCCACTAGCGATGCCTCGGTGAGAAAGGGACAGAAAAAAGCATCCTGATGCATTCACCGCGGCGGATGTTGTTTTATAACAACCTGCGACCAGCAGTGTACGGAGATTTAATTATGGCGCTAGTCTCTCCATCACCATCTACACCGATAGATTACAACATCACAGAACTTAATCACCCGTTTATGTCCAAATTGTCGTCGAGAATAACACCACATACCCGGCTGATATCCAGGCTACTTCTCTTTGTTTAATTTTTTGACTTTAAAATCTGTACCATTTAGTCATTTAGCATTTAACTCCGCAAACCATATCCTCATGTTCTGACTAGTCTTAGGGTAACTGCAGAATGTTTTGCATTTTTGATTGAGAGTGGTGCAAACAGATGATGCTCTTCAAAACACAAGCTGTACACAGGCTACATACTGTAGGCCTACATGCAGAGTTTTCCCTCCTCCCCCTCAGAAGTCAGCTGCGTACCTTTTGCATTATGCAGATCAACACTACTTCACCAGAGATTTGGGACCAGCCTCAGAACCACCACAAGTGTCAGAATAGTGTAGGCTACTGTCTTGTTCTTAGACAAACAGTCTGAATTAATGGTGACTGATTGATCAATAAGGTATTTTCTGTGTGGTGGTTGAGATCCTGTAAGTGTCTGCAGTCTGTATTTAAAGGAAAGTTTTTTCTGAAGGCTTTGTCATTAAAACGGAACTTGAAGCGACCATAATGCAGAGAGGATGAGATGTTATTCACCCTAATGTGGGCTACAAACTGTGCAGGACACACTGGTTTAAAAGAGATGAAGGCACAGAGCAAGGCAGTTCCTTTAAACCTGCTTGTTTTGGCCATTATTCTGCACACAGAGTATTGGAAAGACATTTTATTAGACCGTAAACTCACCTTTGATTGCAAAAGTATAGGGATGGTAGGAATGCATCACACTAACCTTTCACTTATTTGTGAGTACAAACAGCTGGAGCAGTTAATGTTTATATTTTCAAATGTTTTCTTGTGTGGTGCATGTCCACAGTTATGGGCTAATTACTGGTGCTATGCCATGCTGTGGAGTCAGTGAGGGGTTTAAAGCTGTCACAACAAACTCAGACAGAAAAAGAGAGAGGTTTTAGCACTGTGACCTTGGGTGTTGAATTATTCAGAAGTAGATTTTTATGCTATAGTGAAAGTGCTGCAGAGAACACACTTAACAATTAAAGTGAGCTTTTTATATGGTGTTTCTGCAGTGGATGAAGCACCCATATCTGTTTTAATCAATCCATAGTGTCATACTTCTCATTATTCTCTTCATCATCATCATAAACTTTGTGAAAATTGTGTGGCTAGAAAAATGTTTCAAATTTTCTGTTGAATTACAAATGTGGCTTCAGCCATAATAAAACAGTTTTATTTGAGGTAGTAGCCAATGCAAGTCTACACAAACTGATAATCACTGATATTGATTTAGGCAGCCTGTTTATCCAATGGAGGATCATCAATGGAAATAGCCACCAGCAGATTAATGTTTTCTGGCAGTAGACGGTGCCTGCATTTTAATTCCATTTTGTTTGGTAGACTTTGGAGCATCAGTGTACTAATCCTTTGTTATGTAATAAACTAAGGCGATGTATTAAAATGAGATAATAGTGGTTTTGCAGACATGATTAAATAGCAAAGAAAGGAACCAGGATGGTGACTAAGGATTAGTTCCATTAATGATTAATTTGTGAAATATTTTTCCAATTAATCAATTGTTTCTTTTTTCTCTAACATCACAAAATAGTGAATATATTCATCTAATTTTTCCAGAGCTGGAGGTATCATCCAACCAACATTTAAGAATAGCCAAAGATATTCAGTTCATGTTGGTGGAAAATATTATCAGAATAGTGCAGATTCTTGATTATTGACTAATCCATTAACTGACTAGCTGTTTCAGGTGTGAAATGAACATGAAAAGTGGATTTATAGTGAAAATGATTACATGACTTGAAAACTGATAGAGTTCAATGAGATAACTTGACTAAAGTGAATAAGATATACAAAACAGGCCCAATTTGAATGTTGAATTTTATAAATTACTCTATAGTATTGTACTTGGAAGACTCCAACAAACAAGACAGCGCCTTCATTTAAACTTGGGAATTAGGAGAACATTCATGGAAGTATAATTATCACCCATGTTTTCAGAGGAGAGGCGCACAACCAAACGACAAATACCTAAATATCCTCATCAGTCTTCTGAGGTCATTATGTCATGGTACTTATAATTATGGAAGGTCAAAGTTGTCATTAGGAAAGAATAGACTACTAGGGAACACTGGCATTGTCTGGCATTGTCACACAATGACCCCAGCTAAGTGTCCCCCTGTCTATTATTGTGATCTTAGTAATCCACTCTCCTCATGTTGTAGCTACAGTAGTAGCAGCTCATAGTAGATGGTAAGAAAAGAAGACATAATTTGGTTAAGAAAAAGGTGGTATGTTAGTCCCAGTATCACCTTAGATGAAGGTGTGCTATTAGTTTGTGCACAGTGCAGTTAATTGGGAATATGTGACAGAGGGGAGGAGTAATAACATCTTAGGTATGAGTGGCTGATGTGTTTACATGAGCATGAATGTGTTTTTCTTTATCATTTATGTACTGTTTGTTTCATATAATCTGGTCAATACATAATGTTATGTGTTTTCACTCAGGTGGGTTTTATTTACCTTGCCTGATGTTGAACAAAATGCACACCTTAATGCTTTTATTATTGAATCTACTGACCTTAAATGACACATAATTATACGGTAATGACTATTTTAATTTGTGTCTGACCACTTAAAGAACTGCAAACCTTTTCATATCATGTTTAGTGATGCTACAGCCTTCTTCAATATGGTATCAGAATTGTGCTATAAATAAAATCCAATGCTTGCTGCATGTAAGTTTGTTCCCTTCAGGCTACGGTATTGCTTACCACTACAGACAATCAGAGAAATGTGCCTGCAGAGCAAGATGTACAGTTACATAATTGAGTTTGAGCTAACAAATGTGCAGCTTTTATTTGCTTGTACAGGTAGCTGAGTGCAAGATTTTGAGCTGTGTTAGTTGTAGTCCCAGTCTCTGCACAGTACATCTGAAAAGAGAATTAAGAGTCCAGAGATGAGACATTTTGGGATTTTAGAGGGGTCATTAATTTGAGACTAATAACAATTGATAAAACCTGCCTTGTATCACCAAAGTTTGTTAAAATGCTGCTAAAGCTAAAAACACATGCCATGTTATGTTGTAAATACTGACAAAAGCCATAGTCCTATTTATTATTAGGATGCACATATGAGTGTTTTGGTATCAAGTACAGGGTGTGATAAAAGTTGCTTGAGAAAATAGCCATACCTTTGCAGCAGTGGTCTGTTTTAGAAAGCATTGTCTACTGTAACCATGGCATCAGAATGGTTGTGTGATCATGTCACATGAAATATTTTTATCATCTCCAGTGTTAAAAGTACTGAGGAGGTGGTTTTAATGTGATCTCAAAAGAACACTGTGGTGTTGTCCTCTTCCTCTGAATGTGTTTCAGGTTCCGTAAATCAGTTAACCTGCCAAAACTGTACATGCCGTTACCATGCACTTAAAGTGAACCAGGGGGTATGACTGAGAACTGAGAGGGAGGGGACAGATGAGAAAGAGACAGAGAGAATACATGTACTGTATTTCATCTTTAAGGAAACAAATCAATAGATGTGAGTGAACATTCAGATTCTCGCAGCCTGTAGATGAGCTCAGGAGTCAGTGCTCTCTTGTTTTCCTGGCTGGGCCTGCAGTTTGAAGTGCTTCCCTTCCCCTCCCCTGAGCCCAAGCGAGAGGCTGCGTTGCGTTTGGCTCAGACTGCACAGTAAAGGCAATGGAGCTCAGAGGGAGGGGGAGGGGAGACGATTGCAGAGAGGCTGGAAGCCTGGGACCAAGAATGGTGGGTGCAAGGGAGGGACAAAAAAGAGGCAGGAAACAGAGAACACAGGCTCTCAGGATGGAGGGAGGAATGAATAAAAGGATGGATTTGGAGCTGCTGTGCGCATTCTGTGACATTCACAAAATGTGTATCAACCTGAAAACCTCAGAGCGCCTGAGGGGAGAACAGGGGTGAGGGGAGAGGGAGCAAAGATGGATATGACAGGACACAAGAACGTAATAATAATCAACCTATTTAACACAGACTTAAAACATTACCTATACCTCAACTTAAATCTTATGTGGATGCATGGCACTCAGATGTGTTCCTGATTGTACTGTACTGCAGGCTAGGCAAGGTCAGAAAGACCCTGTAAAATGCATACTGAAAGTAGAGTGGGTAAGGGGACTTCGTCGCTGCACACCTGGCGTTGTAACTTTTACTTTTTTCTCAACAGTCAACATACATTTTTCTTCTATTTGACACATTTCACCATTTATTTTTCTATGAAACAATTTTAAAGTCAAACACATCTTTCAGTTAGGATACATTTTCAGTAGATATTGGTGTGACATGTTCCCATACTGCACTTCTTCACCTAGTAATGAAATGAACTTTAGTAACACACATGAACCATCTTATATCCTGTTCTTTCATAATAGTTTACTTGTGCCCATGCACCTGCTGTACACCTCCATTGCTATAAGCATCTATGTCAGATATTATAGGTCAGACAATGAACATTACTGTAGTATCACACTTTGTTACATTACCAGCCCATACAGTATATCATGTTAGTCATATTGCTGATGTCATGGTGTTTCTGCTGCTTACTGCTGCCTAGCTAAACATAATGCAGTCTTATGCATGTGCTTTGCCTGCTATTAAAGCTCTAAAACATCCAATTAAACTGAATGCAGCCATTGTTAATTTTATTAATTACAGCTTTAACTAATAATGCTCAGTGTCT